GCTAGTATGCAGTTGCCCTTGGGAAGTTCAATTTCATAGAAGTACTTCATTTCAAACAGAAGGATGCTTTGTATAAATGAAATAAATTAAGACAGGAATGTGTTTAGGGAGGTGCCAGTGATAGCTCTAGAATCGTATAAGCCATCAGGATTCTCAGAAGCCGCCTACGAAGCTATCATGTAAAATCACCTCATATTTGGTAAGTGTCATGATGCTGTTTGTGTCTTGTTTGCTCAGTGAATGTTGGTTACTTGTTTTCTTATATGAAGTGCCATTGTATTAAATATATCAGGATGAGGGTATTGGTTACCCTTCTGTGTTTCTCATTTTCATCTGAAGTGATGATTATTACCATATTCATGAGTCATGACTACTCAACACACTTTTATCTATAGATATGAAGTTTATCACTGAGTTCAACAAAAGCCCTACAACACCTGATATACCTTAGCTGGTTCTATACATTTTATAATGTATTGTTGTACTGTGTATGCTAACTGTACTATTACATTATATAGAGCATGTTTAAAAATCCTTGTATAAGACACATATTCCATTTAATATCCTATATTCAGAAGCACTCAGATAAAACAACATTCTACAGTGGTTGCCCTTGACAGTAACCTGACTAAAAAAAAAATCCTCTTAGCGTTTGTCTAGTGGATATTGTGTAGTGTCACCTTATCTGTCATCAAACAGCTAACTTCCCTCATCTGAAAGAGTGCAATCATACTTGTTTCACTGTTCTTTCAACAGCTCATTGCTAGTGTACTTCTTCTGCCATGTCTCCCTCTAGGTACCGGTGACTTCCTAGCACTCAGCCTTGGGTTGCCAATTATGCCTTACCTTTCATTTACCATTATACTTTACGTTTCTGAGAGCAACTCCCTGCAGTCAGTTTCTCTGCTGACATTCAAGTTAATATAAATTGTGTTGTGCAGACCTCAGGGATTACTGTGTCCATGCAGTGCCTGTAACGGTAGGAACTACTGAATTTTTAGTGAAATGTCAGCTTTTAACAGCTAGAAATGAATATACACTGAAACTATTCTGAGTGGGCTTTCTTAAAGCTTGCATTACAATCATCGTTTTTTTGTTTTTTTGGTGCTGTTGAGTTTGTCTTTTACTTAAAAAATCAGAATGAAGGTTACATTTGTTCAACTCGCAGTTATTGGCTTAAAAAGCAGTACCATTCAAGAGCACAGGGCCTGAACATGAGTTCAGAAATTCTCTTGTCAAAAGGCAGATGGGCAAAGCAGTTGTAAATATGGTGCACATGATTGTAACAACTGTATTTCTCACAGCAAAGAGTTGGCATGGTCTCGGATATTAAAAATGTGTTTTAAAAATGTAATGGCTAGTTTTCTGATTGCTTTGCAAATTCCAGTGCTGTAAAATAGATTGCTTGTATGCTTTATACAGTAAATTAGTTAAAATAGTTAAAATGCTGAGTTTAGAAGAACTCAAGAGTTAAAAGAAGTCTGTACTGATCAACACTCGTTGCAGAATCTTGCTTTAGACAGTATCATGAGTCATGGGGGCAGAGATGTCTGAGAGCAACTGAGGCTTCATTAAAGCCAAGGTCACATCCAGAGGGTTTGACATACCAAAATTCTTCACATTATATGACCAACTTCCAAGAAAAGTTGCTTGTTACCGATAAGATGTCAAATTCATATTGCTACATACAGTACGTGAGTACGTTCATTACTGGAAACCGTGTGATAGTAAGAGAATATGCATTTTCTCTAGGTGCCATTTGACCTTGCTGCTGACACATTCCATCATTTTATATAAACATTTGTGGTGATTGTGAGCTTTCTTTTCTCATTATGAGTTGAGAGAGGCATTCTGATTTGTGTTATTTTCAATTCTCTCTCTGTGACATACATCCTTGTTCGACTAAAGTAGGCAGAAAGTAAGAATCTGGAGGTTTTTCTTATGATTTACTTCCCCAGAATTGGTACACCGTGGCATGAAAATAAAAAGGATTTTGCAAATCTTTCACAAATGACCTTTACCATCTTGCAGGACAGCAATGTGTTCTAGTACCATCCCTCTGTGACTGAAGTGAGCCACTTTCATAGCAAATGTTTGCCTTTATACTGTACTGTATGTGATTCATTTATTATTGATGAGGCTTCTTTTACTGGTTGAATAGTCAATTAAAATGATCCAGAAACCTAGGTTCTGGTGGGAAAGCTAAAAGTCAACAGACTAAAAAAACAATCTGATGTTAAGATGTAGATAAAACAACTTGTTTTTTAAATCAACCTTTCGGCCAGAGAGTCAACTTAATGGGCTGGCAATGTAGTTTAGCCTAATGGAGCATAAAGCAATTCTTGACCCTTGCAGTGACTTGGCAACATTTTGTATCTAATTGGTTCTGCAAAGTGACATTGTACATCTTCACTTTTTATATACTGTACCTCAGCCTTAGAGATTGCTGTTTTGTCCATCTTCAGAAGGATTAACGTACATACTGTATAGCCTTGTTCTCTACACACCTTATAGAATTACCCAATAAAGCCAAGATTAAAAGTTATAAAGAAAGTCTTTAAGAAAGTTTTAACAATGTTCACAGTCTCTGATAGATTTGGCCAGTGAGAATCCCCAGGCATGGATCTCCTTATTAGAAGGGTCTGTCATCCATTGTGTGGAACCTGGGCCTGTGTAGAGTGTGCTGGGCAAGACCTCGATCAGCAGGTCTCTGTAACAAACAGTTCTTTCCGGACCCTATGCGGACGACACAGTCCGACGGAGTGGGGAAACATTGGGGAAATGTCATGCAGGAAAACGGGGCAGAAGACAGGGGGGTGTGTCCAAGGTGCGCTGGTGCACGGGGGAGGTGTGGCCGAGGCGAACAATCCGAGAGAGTAGTCCTTAGGTAAAATCCAAAACACACGAGTAAGTCCAAAACCAGGAGATCCATCAGAACAGAGAATTAAAAAACCACGAAGGCCGGGTCGGAACCGGCGGATGGGGAACAGGAACGGGAACGGAGGTTAAAACCTTAATGGGACCAGGCGCTTCCAGGTCCTGGACTCGCACGATACGGAAATCAGATGCAGAGCCCGGATGAGCGTCAGCGCCTGGCTTTTAAGGTGGGCTGGGAATGAGGATCAGGTGCACAGAAATGAAGTCTTTAGTGAAAGGGCTGGAGCACCCTTAAGGAGGGGGAACTATAATCGTGACAGTCTCAGATTAAGTGTTGGACTATATATAATAAACCATTCAGGTAACCTAGATATATACAATTTAGTGCTTTATACAGTATGTAAGTAAAATTTAGCCTATGATTTATTTAATGTATTTATGTTAAATACTCATTGTTTTATGAGATGTGGTTATTTTCTGTCCAGCAATCACACAATACTCTCAGGTAACTGTATTGGTCCTTGAGTATTCAAACAATGTTTTTGGAGTCTCTGGAGTCTCTGTTACTATTCACTATGATAATTCATTGTTCTATAAAGCTGAAAAAGATATCGTTAATATTTCCTATTCTAATCAAGTTAGCATTCATGGAATTGTTAGGGACCTGACACTGCATTCTGTATAATGTGAAAATGTGGAAAGCAGGAATAACACGCAGTATACTGTAATAGCACTGCACATTAATATACAAAATATTCACCAAAGTGAAAACATCATACATGGAAGATATGTTGTATTGAATAAATTAAAGGACCATTAGAGAACTGGATTGCTCTGGTATTACACATGTTGCAAACTCTTTCCATTGCTATCTTGTTGGTCATGACTCAGTATATGATTCAACACAGGTTATCTGATCTGAGTACAGCACCAAACATTGCTTTTACCTCCGAATTATCTCAGTGGTATAATGGCACAGTTACAGAAAAGCAATGAAATCTTACTGTCCCTGGCAGATTGATGTTTGAGAATACTGACATTTTTAAAAATGCAACAAAAGAACTAAAGATGTTACTGTATGTCCTAATAGTAGCTGTTTGTTGGATCCCTTAAAAATCCATGAACTGCCCCTTGCAGAAGACCTGGTTTTGTCCATTGTTTTTCTGTTTACGCTTCTGATCTTTTCATTTTTTTAACCTGTAAGAAAACAGTTAACTTATCAGTAGGTTGAACTTACTGGGTTTTTTATTTTTGATTATGATGTCAAAGTGTTGTTTCTTGTGTCGCTGTCATTTCATGTTTTATAATGTACAGTACTGTACATTACACAAGTGCTTTAGAGATCAAAGGCAAAATAGATCATGATAATCTTTTGTGCAACTGTATTTTGCATTCATTAGCATGCTTTTGGAGCTCCAAAGGCATGGGGGTTAAAGAGAAATCCCTTGGTGAAGTGGGCAATGAGACTTTTTTGAGTTATGCTGAATATTCCATTGTTTTAAGTGGACCAAACACTGACCTTTTGTTCCATTGAGGGAGATCTTGTGGTCTGCACTTTGACTTATTGGGGTAATGGCATCAATATCTTAGATTAAATGTAGAATCCCTGCAGAGCTGTTACTCATTTGAGGAAGGAAGTCAATGTGAAGATGTTTCCCAGTTTATGAAAATTGTAATCACTGTGATTTTGAAAAGTGCTTTCTGTTTCCTCACTGTTCAACCTCTCAGCAGGCATATGCTGAATGTGACACTTAAGGGACTGTGTTAGCTGGTCTTCTACTTGTTACACTAGCTTATGTACAGTATATTAAATGACGCTGATTAATGTCAAACTAACTGGTTGTGTTTCATTGCGTGCAAGTCCTGTGTCTTTTTTGTAAAACTCTTTTATCTTGACACAATAAAAAAATAGGCTGCTTGTACTATATCTTTCTATCCGAGCTTCATTAAATCCTGTTAAAAATAATCTCAATTTAAAATTGTTGCATTGTGTCTCTGAAACTCTTGGCTCAGAAAACAAAGTTTTGAAGAGGGTTCCAGGGCACAGTTTGTCTTTATTATATATTGACTTGGGATTTATTCAGGATTATTGTACAGTTCTCTCTTTTTTTGTTTTCCTGCAGTTTCCAGTCACAATGACACAATCCGAGGCAGTGCACATTCCAAAGGACTACAGGATTGAAAGCTGTGGTTATCTGGCAGGTGATTTTCTTCATCTTCTCTCTCAAGACTTTGGTAAGTGTCCAAAACTCCACATAAAGGCATCTTTCATCCATTTTAATAACCCCTTTTATCCTAATATTCTATACATTTGTGCTATAAGGTTTTGTTGTTTTAAAAAGTCTTGTTCTAAAATGAGTCAAGTGGAATTTGTATTTTGTTTCTATAGTAATACAAATTTTTTATTTTGTTTCTGTGATATCTGTAATTGTATGTGGAGATGAGAAGATTTAATTCTCTTTTTTTCAGTACTGTATATGAATTTATGTCTCTGTGCACAAGGAGTCCTATTATTGAAGCATTTGTTGGTTTGTTCAAAAATCATTAAATACAGTGAAACATTAATATTATCTTAACTGGGGAAGGTACAGATAAAAATCTTGTGGGCAAATGTACTGTATAAATATTTTATGACTTTTATATTAATTAACATTTTTAAATGATTATGAATGCAGACACTGGAAGCCTTATGCAAACCTGCAAACTGTCAAATGCAGAGATACTAGTAAACACGTATTACATAAAGACATTTGAAGAAATCTTAAAATGTGAGAATGTTCTTATGTTTAATGATAATCCCCATAGGAAATGAAAGCTGGTTTAATTTGGAGGCAGTGTGGTAGTAATAAGTGCTTTATTATCTGTCATCCTGGAAAGAGGTGTTTTTTTCTCTCAAGAGGAATGAAAGAGCTGACCGTGGTTTTTCAGTCTCCAATTTCCAGTATTATCATGGATTGTGCCACTCCCTTTACAGGAAATCAATGTTTTCAGTGATCCCTATGGCATGGAAGGATTCTTAAAAGCTCATATTGAGTTGCATTAGAACCAGGTACAGTATAAAGTTCAGGATATGTATGCTTTGTATGTAGCATTGTTGACTTTAATATTTCTTTTTTCCTGAGTGAATTATGGGAGGACTGGGTCAATAATGGCAGACAAGCAACTTAATGTTTCTCCATGCACAGAGAACCATGTGCATGGGCACATCCTAATCCAGATGTGATTTGAAAAAGGTCTGATGGGTCATGACTGTGAATAAATGCCATGGGTATTCATTAAAGAAAGTTAATTGCGTCTGTGACACAGGATTAGTGTGCAACTAGCAGATTACCTCTGGTGGAGAGTGTCTGGTAGCTGGCCTGAGTTCCCTTGGCTCTGCACACAGCAGTGACTGACAAAAAGCTTGTGAGTGGGAAGTGATGTCATTGAGGGACTCATGAAACCTCCAGTTGCTGCTAGCTCTCCTGTATGGTACTGTGGAGCTTGCACACATGATAAAGGACATCTTGACATGAAGACTTAATAAACAATTCCTATAATCTGTAGACAGAAATTCAAACTTTTGTTTTTATTGACTGGAGGTTTTGGAGATTATTACCTGTAGTTTTTTGTAGTTTTAGCACTATGGGTGTTTCCCCAGTATCATTTGGTTTTCTGTTATGTCTAAGTTCCAAAGGCTTTCTTATCTTTTTAACCCCCAAAGCTCCCCTTTACATACCTGTTCATTACATATTTTACTTAGAATAATAACCAGTCTTGGGATGATTCACAATAAATATTTTTTTTCCTATTCATGGATAAAAAAGGACCAAACATTTTCAATCCATTATTGCATAGGGTCTGCAATACTGTCTAAAGAATATACCTCAGCTTTAAATCATGATTCTCATGCACGATTTCAGGATGGAAAAGAAAGTAAAGATCAAAGCTTCTTTTTCTTATAAGAAATTATATACAGTATAAACTGTTGTATCATTTACACATTCTTACATAATTCATTAAAAAGAAGTAGAACCATATTTTGCATGGTGTCATTCTAAGCTGTTGGTTGTTCAATATAGTATGTCCACATCTAACATGAGTTTCATTTTGCACTTCTTGCAAAAAATCATACTTGTCGATCTGCGTGGTGTTATTTTTTATAGTGTTAGCCACACAATTCATCATAGACTGCAAATCTTTTAAGACGCTCATTTTTTGCCAAAAAAAATTTAAGACACCATATGGACATTTTCCACAGAGGGTATTTCTATTGATAAGTTTTAGCAGTATAATTTTGATGATGTACTGTACTATACTTTAAGTAAAGGGCCTTAGTACACCTGAAAACTATAAATTGTGAACTCTTTGAACAGTGTTACTGGGATTTGAAAATTGCACAGCATAATAACTCATACTGTACATTCTATTATATGGGGCTGAAATACAGTATAGTTGGGATGCATATGCAGTTCTGGATTCCTGAAGAACACAGCCACCCTAGGTATGTGAGACCAATTCAAGTTATGTCAGTGAATTGCAATTGAATTGAACAGAAACCAATAAGTTTGTAGTATTATAAAAGTAAAATGCAGTGCTCTGTTTTGCTCTTTTAAATTACATTCCTTGTTCATGTTTGCTTCTATTGCTGAATACTTTGTACTTCAAAACCATGGTATCCTCAGTAGTATACATATATTAAAATGTTAAAATATAATCATTTTAATAAGTTGCCTTCATCCCACAGTTTTTATTCATCCCCTGCTGTGCTCCGCAGGGAGATAAAAACTGAATTACTTAATACATGTGAGTTGGCGAACAGGTGTTGTTTTTGCTTTTCTTGTATAAAATGTAATGCTTTGACATTTCTGATGCTGTCTGTGCAATAGTTGTTCTGTGAAATTTGAAGTGCTCTTCACATGTTGGCCATCATTCAAGTGATAGAATTAAAAGAATAAACCTCAAAAACTTTTTTATCGCACTTAAAGATTCTTTGCCACTCTTAGCTGATTGATTAACTGTTTACAAAACTGAGAATGTTTCTCTGTGGTTAATGGGCAGTTATGTATTTCCAGCATGTAAAGCAATTTTCTCAGAAAACATCACTATCAAAGCATTGCCTTGATATCGTGCAAAATGTTCTGAACCAACTATGCATTCAGACATTGATGTTGACATGGACTTTGAAAATACAAGGATGAAATAAAATCAGATTATTTTCATTTACATTGTGATGGGCCTGTTCCCATACACTATAAGTTTGAAGTAAATATAATTCTTACCTTTTTGTGGGTGGTTGTTTGTTGGCAGCAGCAGCTTCACCTCTTTTTAGTTTAACAGTTAAAATCACATTCAGAGGCAGGGCCGGATTTAAAGCCTGGAAAGCAATTACCAGATGGCCATCGGCTTGTTTCCCATGGTGCCCTCTTGTGGACTGGAGGGGAGCTGGTCTTCCCATCCATTTATGAACATTTATGAACACTGGTGTTTTAATAGCCCCTATGTTTCAAAAAGGTATTAAAATATTAAGGGAAATGTGAAATGTATTTGACTTTGGTCATGGATTTTTCTTGTGATATTTGTGTTTTTATTGAGGTAGTGGGTTTCTATAAGAGTATTGAAGGTGTTTAAAAGGGGAGGAGCCTCTGTAATAAAATGCAGAGGTTATGCTCTGTGAGTCATCAGCTGGGAGCTGAAAGAGGAAGGTGGTTCTGTTGAGGGCCAGTTGAATGCTCTGTTTTGTCGTTTTGTCGTTTTGTCGTTTTGTCGTTTTGTCGTTTTGTCGTTTTGTCGTTTTGTCGTTTTGTCGTTTTGTCGTTTTGTCGTTTTGT